AACCTTTCCGAAAGCTCGACAAAAAGTCAAAAGAGTGTTTTTTTAACATCCCGGCCAATATTCTGACTGCAACCCTAATAAACTGTGTTGTTTGTTTATATCGACAGTCAATAATATCCAGTATTTCTTATATACATATCTATATCAGGCGGTAGAGTGTATAACTTCCACGCAGAAGGCCGGGGATCGAATCCCAGAGCCGGCGAGAAGAGAACTTCTACATATTTTTAAATATCTAGATATTCAGCCTGAATACAAAGAGTACCTTGGGTGAAACCAGTGGTAACAATACAATAGGCGGTTGAAGCTGACCCTGTTACTTCCTTGTATTACATACCATGTCCAAGAAATTGCAGACTTTTTCTTCTTCTTATAATGGCCCTACAAACCTTTGTGGGTCTTGACCCGTTTAACAAAGTTCTTCCATTCGGCCCTGTCGGATACTTTCCTTCGCCACTACCTGATGTTCATGGTTTTAAGATCTTTCTCTACATCGTCTTTCCACCTTTTATGGGGCCTTCCTCTTGTCCTATTTCCTTGGGGTTTCTATCTCTGGATTACTTTTACAGCTCGATCATCTGGCATTATTTCTAAGTGGCCAAGCCAGTTTAGTCTTTGTGACTTTACAAATCCAACGATATATGTGCTATGTATTAATTCATCTAGCTCATGGTTCATTTTTATTCTCCAAGAACCATCGCTACAATAGGTCGGTCCAAATATCTTTCTTAATATTTTACGCTCAAAGATTCTCAATTAATTTTCATCAGTGGTTGAAAGGGTCCAGATTTCATATCCATTTATGACCACTAGTTTAATTACTATTTTGTAGATTATAAGCTAGACTCACGATTTAGCTGCTTGATAATATTTATACTGGTTACTCTTGGTTTTTTGATTAATTTTATTGTTTCTAGTTTCAGATCTTGAACAATTTTTTCTCTGATTAGTCTATGGGCGCGGCCTATTTGAAATTTATTTATTCCACATAGAATGAAGTAAATTTCGTTCTTAGTGATTCCATTTGGTGCTACCCAAGTCCATTTTCTGTTCGGTTTTTTCTTAAAGAATGTATTTGGAATTGGCATGTTTTGTTAGTGTGCAAACTGATCCAGTCTTTCTCCCCTCTCATTTCTATCACCGACTCCATACTTTTCCACGACATTCCAGGATTCCACGGGAATTTTGAGTAGCGGGTGGAGCGAACGATATTTTCTTTATTCATTTCTTTATTAAATCCCACCGTCAGAAATGTTCGCGTCAACGCCCGGGCCTATTCCCGCGGCAATGCCCACGCTAACCAGGCTATAAATAAACCGTCCGCTGTTCCTAGTATCAGTAATGCGTTGGTTAGTGATCAGAGCAGTAGTGTCTAGGGGCTAGGAAAACTGAGACCTTGGAAGTCATGAAGAAGACATCAGGGAGAATGTCGAAAGCTCGGCGCGGTTCGAAATTAATAATATTGAATGTAAAAAAATACTTATGTTATCTTTATATCGGCACCACTCAAAATTTAGTATCCCAGGCAGTCGCCAGGCTTGCTCGCCTCTTTATCCGGCCCTGGATATAATCTAAGTTATGTTAACTTTGCTATCTGCTCCCTACTGTTATTATATTTCTAAATGCTTTATAGTTCTAAGTGTGACATACGCGACGAATTAAAAGAAGATCACACTTTTTATTTAATACAAATGTCTTGTGATCGACTGTTTGGTATGTATTCATTTCATCCATAATTTCAGTAAGTAGATAATGTAGATCTGTTAGAATATATCTTACCTTAAAAATCGTGTAGGTGTTCTAACTATTAGAATTTGTTGTTTCCCAGTGAGGTAATACAGAGATAGCAGTGAATTATTTGATTACTTTATTTTACAAAAGTACTAAAAACTAAACATGTGCTACATTCTACAAAATATATTTTACAATTGACATATGACAACCGGAATCACTTAAGACATTGTGAGCCAGTGTTGCCAAGTACAAAATTCCAATACTCCTCCTCGATTTGAAATGTTGGAACATGAAAATCGTAACTATTATAATTAACAAAATGATATTACAACTCATATAACATAAATTTTATTTCTTAGATTTATGAAAGTCTCGGTACCTAAAGATTTAGTTAAAATATCAGCTAAATTTTGCTCAGTTGATATATAATCCATTACAACTTCTTTCTTAGAAATTAAGTCTTTTAAAAAATGATTTTTTATATCTATATGTTTTGCTCTTTTCGAATTTTCATTACTGTTAGACATTAAAATTGTACTTTTATTGTCACAGTATAAAATTGTTTTGACAATTACATTAAAATTTCCCAGTAAAACCTTGACATTGATTAAGTCTTGAGCGGTTTGTGCTGCTGCAATGTATTCAGCTTCAGCTGTTGATAATGCCACACAGTTTTGTTTCTTTGAAAACCATGATTTTGGGTTATTACCATATAATAATATACATCCACTCACACTTTTCCTATCTTTCTTATCTGTTGCCCAATCGGCATCTGAATATCCATTGAGTGTTATCTGGCAATCTGTATTTTTATAATAAGTTAATCCCAGTTTCTTACTTCCTTGTAGATATCTTAAAATTCTTTTTCCAGCATTCCATGTCTCTGTAGTAGGACAATCTAAAAATCTACTCAAGTATGACACTGCATAACTAATGTCTGGCCTACTTGTTGTTGATAAATACATCAGTCCTCCAATTAATTGCCTGTAAGGAATATTAGTTAGAATTTCACTGTCCTCAATGTATTGAAATCCCTTTTCCATTGGAGTCTTCTTTGGTTTACATTCCTTCATATTAAAATGATCCAAAAGTTTTTCTATAAATCTTTCTTGATCAATTTTAATAGTATCTTCTGTCCTAGTAATGTTCATACCTAAAAAATTTTTAACTTCCTTTAAATCTTTTGCCTGAAAATTATCTTGTAATAATTTTATAACACATTTAACATCATTATCTTCTCCTATTAATAATATATCGTCTACATATATTAATATCCAAACCTTTTTGTTATTGTATAAACAACAATCATACAAAGATCTTTCAAAATTATTTTGAGTAACAAATTCGTTGAATGTATTATTCCATACCTTTGATGATTCTTTTAAGCCATACAAAGCTCTATTCAATTTTAATACTCTTGAGTTTTTTATGGTAAGTCCTTCTGGTGCATAAATATAGACATCATTCTCAAGTAATCCATTTAAAAATGCAGTTGGGATATCCATTTGTCTGATTTTCCAACCATTTTCTAATGCTATGGATAAAAATAGCATAATTGTTGATGTTCTTGCTACTGGTGAGTAATTTGGTTCAAATTCACTCTCCTCCTTAATTTGAAAACCATTGGCTACTATTCTGGCTTTTTCAGTTCCATCATCCTTTGTTCTAAAAACCCATTTTGTTTGAATAGCTTTTTTATGTTTAGGTAATTCTACTTCTGCCCATGTACTTAGCTTTTCATGTGAAAGTAGCTCTTTTCTTATGGATTCTTCCCATTCAGGATCTTTTATGGCATCTTCATAGCATAAAGGATCATTTTCTTCTGTTGATATTAAACAATAAGCTGTATAAGTCTCATATTCACTTAAATATTTGGGTGCTTTTATTTTTCTTCCTGTTTTTGTTTAAGTTTCATTTCTTAATCTAATAGTCTGGATTTTACAAAGTCCATTTTAATAGTTGTATTCATTGTTTCTATAGCTGTGATGACTTATTCATACTCTTCATTTAATGATAGTAATAAATGGCATACTTTGTCTTCTTCTTCTAGTTTTGAACCAGCATTTTCTAAATCTCTTATAAGGTTGTCAAACAACAGAAAATGATCTTCTAATTTTTCATTTCTTTTCAGCTTCAATGTTAACAATTTACGTTTCAATGTTAATTTTGTAAACACACTTTTTCTCTCAAATATGTTCTCTAGGGCTTTAACCATTTCTTTGGGGTATTTGCATCTTTAACTAAATCCAAGTGTTCGTCTGTTAAACATTGTACTATGATGCTTTTACCTTTGGAATCTTTTAGTTTAAACTCTGCTTTCTCTTTTGGTTCACTGTAGTCTTGCTCAGTTTTCTCCAATACATCTAATAATTGTCTTTCTTCCAGTAGTATGGTTACTCTGAATTTCCAGTTGTTAAAATTTGTAGCATTTGTCAGCTGAGGAACATTGACTATTGCATTAGTCATTTTATATTTCACACTTTCTTTTATGCTTCTTTATTATTTGTCTGTCTGGGTGCCCATAACCTATTAGAATTTGTTGTTTCCCAGTGAGGTAATACAGAGATAGCAGTGAATTATTTGATTACTTTATTTTACAAAAGTACTAAAAACTAAACATGTGCTACATTCTACAAAATATATTTTACAATTGACATATGACAACCGGAATCACTTAAGACATTGTGAGCCAGTGTTGCCAAGTACAAAATTCCAATACTAACACAATGAAAATGGAGAAATGAGAAGAAGAATTAAGCATAAAGATATAGTTAGATTTATTAAATCCTTACTAATTAAGGAGGTCACCAGATGAAAGTCATAAACTGAAAGACCAAGTGGAAGACCTAGAGAGAGATGGGAGGACCAGTTCATGAGAGATATCAAAATCCTGAAAGTGAAAAACTAGAGAGACTTATGCACAGATCGAAATAAGTAGAAGAAAATTGTAACGAAATCCAAGTCATGGAACAAACTTTGACAGTACACAAGAATAATACGGAGTGATTCACCACAATAAGGGAATCAGAGAACTCTAAGTAAGAGCTACAAATATTTCATCAGGAATGGAAGGCCTTGATGATGACGATTCTAACAGAATATTTAGAAAAAGTAAAGGATTGGGATACTAAAATGGTTGACTTATATTGGGTATGGTAATTGGGTATCATTTATTCTAACTGGGTTATTAACTTTAATCATATATATTTTTAAAACTATTTTAAGTTGAAAGCAAAAATTTGATATTATATCATCTGTTTTTTAAGGAGAGGAATGGATTGCTTCCAAAAGACATATTCTACGAGGTTTGTCTTAGCAGCCGCGTGAAGTTTTCGATGACAGATATGGAACAACTTTTAAAACTACTAAATATAATGTCAGACGATCAAATTAATTACAAGAGATTTGTCGACATGATAAACGTTAATGCTCCAACAATAGAATTAATGTCAACTAAGGATATTCCTCCCGAAAAGCTTTACTACATCACAACATATCAAGCTGCAGGGTGTGATTATTTATTTATTAACAACGCAAGTAAGTAAATTGGTACGTTTTTGTACTAAAACATTTGAAAATTTAAAAACTATATTTAACGCAATGCACAATGTACTTATTTGTGAGGTTTTTTAATATTTGGCCAATATTCTCTTAACTCATTCCTCTATTACTTTCTCCGCGACTGTCGTCTCCGAGGTCACACGAAACTTCGATTGGTACAAAACCTAAGGTCCATTGCTACCGACGCGACTATTTTAACACAACGGTTGAAGACTAATTTAATCTGTAAGCTATTTACAACCAGTTTACAACCTAAATAAAACCTGTGCCCGCCCACGAAGTGACTGCTTTTGGAGAAGTTTCATTAAATTTCCAATGTTAAAACTTTCTTTTACTTTCTCCGCTACTGCCGTCTCCGAGTTCACACGAAAAGGAAAATTCTTTAATTACAGTTTGATCAATACACATACCCCAACTGATGACCAACCAGAGGAAATAAAAGAATATTTCTTCGAAGACCTAGAGCAAGCCTACAGGAAATGTCCTAGAAATGACATTAATATTTTATTAGGTGACATGATAGGAAAGCATATTCTACACAATATCAGTAGCGATAATGGATTACGACTGATAAACTTAGCATCAGCACTCAATATGACAGTCGCTAGCACCTATTTTGAACATAAGAACATCACAAAATAACCTGGACCTCTCCTGATGGAAGAACAACGAGTCAGATTGATCACATCTTAATAGATTCAAGGCTTGGAACAGACGTAATAAACTGTAGAAGTTATAGAGGCGCAAACATAGACTCAGATCATTACCTAGTGACCTTAATATCGAGGGCTAGAATTTCAAATACTAGTAAAGAAAATAAAATGGATACAAAAAAAACGGAGTGTGCAAAAGCTGAGAGATGCGACAATTGCAGAACGGTACCTACTCGGAAAATATCATCAACAGGCAACAGGCTAACGAATGAAAATATAAATGAAGAATGCTAGACAGATATAGACTCCTACTGGACCGGAATAAAGGAAGACATTGAAGCAGCAGCAAAAGAGGAAATATTAACAACAAGGAAAGATGTATTGAATAGATGAGTGGAATACTTTAACCAGGCACTTAATATAGAGGAAGAAAAAGAAAACCTGGAAGACGAAAGAGATGAGGTAAGGGGAACAGACGAGATAGAAGAACCACCAACGATTCTTCAAACTAGCCAGAAACAAATCACCCGGAATAAATAATCTCCCAGCTGAACTATATAAAGAAGGTGACCATGAGACCATAATGGCATTACAGCAGCTTATAAAAGAAATATGGTCACAGAAATCCCTCCCCAATGATTAGAATATTGGAATTCTTTGCACCATATACAAAAAGGAGATATTTTTAAATGCTCTAACCACAGAGGAATTACGCTCCTAAATGCAGCATATAAAATATTTTCCACAGTACTATGTCATCGTATGGCACCATATGCAGAACGGATAGTAGGAAATTACCAGGCTGGTTTCGGAGGTGGTACATCGACAATTCATCAGGTTGAAACCCTGAAAAAATTTTGGAAACAAACTGGAATAGGGCATTAATACTCATCACATAATGATAATAAACAATGAAAAATGGAAATAAACCTAGAAAAGACCGAATATTTAACAACAGAGCAAGAACCAGTGAGAAACTTGGAAATGGACGATGATATGGAAATTAACGGCACTGAAAAATTCAAATATTTAGGATTCATACTCTCAAAAAATGGAACCACCGAGCAAAAGATAATCAGCAGATTAGCACAGACAAGAACATGTATTAAAAAAATGAACGGGGTACTGTGGGATAGACAAATTACCAGAAATACAAAGAAGAGAATTTATAACACCTTGGTACGCAGTATAATGACCTATGGAGCAGAGAATTGGGTAATAAATAAACGAAACAGGTCCAAAATCACAGCAACTGAAATAGAGTTCATGAGAAGAAGCTACAGAGTGAGAAAAATAGATCGCATCAGAAATGAGGAGATAAAACGAAGAATGGCAGTAGAACAAGACATACTCAGCTACATCGAAGAAAAAAATTTAATTTTGTATGGACATGTGAGAAGAACAGATCATACAAAAGAGGTAAACCCCGAAGATCATGGAGGATGAAGTGGTCGAGGCCATGGAAAGACGAGACCTTAGAGATGGAGAATGGCAGAACAGAAAGGACTGGAGACGTTGGCTGAAAGAAGGAAGGCGGCGACAGCTGTAAAAATCCTTATATAGGTAGATAGATAGATACCCATCACATATTTATAGAGACTATAAAGCAGCCTGCGACTCTGTGAATAGAAGAGAAATGTTCAAAGAAATGAAAGAGTTAGGAATACCAAATCAGTTGGTAAATTTGTAATAAAAACCAAAACTTACTCTTGAAAAAGTTTAATATAGAGTTAATATATAGTTTAATAACGAGTTGCGCCAGTGAACGAATTTGTTTGCCCTGGAGCGCTCCTTAATACTAAAAATAATACTACCGCAGAGATGAACCGCAGAAATTCAACCGCAGGCTCAATCTTTTGCTTAAATCCACAATTATATCGAGAAATGCGAAAATAAAATAGGTAAAAAGAAATAAAGTAAGACTTACAATCAATTTAATTTTACCACCAAAACGAACAAAACCCCACATTAGCCCGTTTTTGTAATTTCAGCATTTAATTTACTTGATACCGTTAGACCTGAAGATGTTTAGCAAAGTGTAGTAAGCGAAACCGGTCGTTTTGATGGTAAAATTAAATTGATTGTAAGTCTTATTTTATTTCTTTTTACCTATTTGAAATGGACTAACACAGGCAACACATTCGTGATTTACACAACTAAAACTCCACAAAACAATATTACGCCCAGTTCTAACATATGGTTCAGAGACCTGGGCTCTAACAAAAAATAATGAAAACATGTTAGGATGTTTCGAAATAAAAGTACTAAGGCGAATTTATAGAGTAGTGAATGACAATGAAGTGTGGAAAGACGATACAACTTCGAACTTTTAGAGTATACCAGGAACCTGATATCGTAAAACATATATATTAAGATAGGACGTCTGAGGTGGATAGGGCATGTAATGCGGATGAAACAAAATGACCCAGCTAGAAAAACGCTCCTTGATAGATCCATTGGTCAGAGAAGAAGACCTAGAACAAGATTCCTTGATAACATCGATGAAGACATGAGAAATATGGGAATACGTGCTTGGCGGAGAAATCCGATGGATAAGGACGACTGGGGAGAAATTCTTGAGGAGGCTAGGACCAACGTAGGGTTGTAAAGTCAGAATAATGATGATGAATATGATTTCAAGAAAAATGCTATCTTGGTTGCTTTTGGTCATAGAAGAAAAAAATGTGCTTTAAGTATAAAATCAAAATGAAAGCTTTAAAACTACTGTTATATTGCTACTAATTGGTTTTTCTCTCACTCCTCTTTCTGCTTATTGTAAATCAGATTTTTATCTTTTAAACACATTTTTAAATACCTATATTAAAACAAAATAATTCGCAGATATGCCTACTGCAGGCATTCCTACTCATAGAACAGATTTGCCAGCACCATATCAACCTGCAGGTTCATGTTTAGCGGATCTTGAAAGTTTGGGTGACTCCACCAATATAAAGACCTTGCTCAATCCAAGTATATACACGAATTATGGATTAAATTTCAGAGATTTCTTTTTAGTAAGTATTATAACTGTAAAACTATGTTCTCGTGAAAACTATAAATGTTACCACTTAAAATTCCTTATTATGTAGATTGTTAACTTTCTGAGTTTTATTTGATATATTTCTGCAATGTTTTTCAGTATTTTCTGCGTTCTACATTTATTTATATGTTTTCTCAATAAAGTATAGGTTTGGAGTAAGTAGTAAATGATTTAGTTTGTAATTAACCTAGATTTGACACCTTTCTAGATTCACTAATCCGTTAAGACCTTGAGACACACTTTTTTTAACCGTATTTGAGTTAATGCATATGTTCTAACGTTTGATGGTTATTATTAGCGTTGCTTTTTCTAGTTTTATTGCATTAGTGACAATGATATATTTTAAAAAGGCTTATCAATATCATTTCATAGTGTTGCGCATATTTTTATTGTTATGCCACGAACTGTCTGAGAAAACTAACAAACTAAACCATTTGCTATTGTTTATGCCTTATAAATTGTAATTAATAACACATAAAGTACATTTACATGGACTTTTTTAGCCTAGACAACCTGAAGTGTTAAAAACACTCTTTGAGAAAGTTGGATATAGTTTTCCTGGAAACAAATTTGAAAAAATCTGGAAAGAAGGTGTGGAGCAAGATGAGACTGGTTTAGTTTGTGTAGATACATTCAAAAAATTACTGGAAAAGTACACTCCTATGCAAACAATTCGTGTAGATGAAGCTGACTGCTGAAAATATTCTATACATATAAATTTATATATATTGATATATTTTTATTTTATTATAACATTTTTTTATTATTAATTAGTATGTTTATTTCAATTAAGCATGTAGACAAAAGGAATAAATAGCGCAAATTTTTGATAAGCACCCTTAATTAGCAACCAGTTTGATTCAAGAAGATAGCTCTGATAATGCAAGGGCTAAAGGTATTTTGAATGTAGAGTACCATACATCAGGAGTATAGTATCAAAAATAACTATGTCCACAATTTTTAGAAATTGACATTTTGATTTCAACATTTTCATTTCGAGACAGCCTATTACCCAAAGAAACAGTTTGTGATTAAATTTAGCTTAGTCCAAAGTTATTTTCATTAAAAAATTGTTTGGAAACAAACTTGGTAATGTCCACATAAACTTATATTAAACATAGCTAGAACTCACGCCAACCTTCATTCGAACCAAAACTGTTATGGCCACTTATATCATTTCGATGTTATTATGTCGTCAGTTTTTCACATTTTAAATAAAAATTCCTGTAATTTGAAGTGAAACCTATAATTTTTTATCAAGATGGATATTTTTTTCTATGCCTGTAGATAAAAACCAGGCACGAAAATGGATTGCAGTCACAAAACTGGAAGTCTAACCAGGCGAAAAACGAGAGGTAAGTTCATTTGTTTATCAGGACCGTACCGTAAGTCGCATTTAGATACATGTTAATTTAGTGATGGGCAGAACTTCTAAGAATCGAGAATTTTTCGAGTAACTAGAACCGCGAACCATATTCACTTTTAAAATTGATTAAAAAATAAATAATACTGTTTTAAATTCATCAATTCCTGATTTGTTTAATGTTTAAATTCGTTAATGGCTCTCACACTTACTGAAATATGTTTCCATAAATGTGATAGGGTGAATTGGTCGTTTTGATAATCTTGAGAATAAGCACATTTTGTTAAATGGGGAATTCTATTAAAAATAAAAATATTAGTATCAGTTATTCAGTCGTATTGCCTTTTTTGTATCCCAAATATTCATTACATGAGTTTATTACATATATTATTTGACCTCCAAAAAGATTTATTTACAAAACTGACGTATCCGCTTATATTATAATATTAATATAATATAAGCGGACATATTTTATTATTAATAATATAGCGACAGCTTCCTCAGCCAGTATTCGAATACTTTGATTTAAGTGCTGGAGA